CTCCCGCAACCCTCGGTGGATTCGCGCGTTCTCGTCCGCTATCGAGTCCCGTTCGGCTCTCCTATGAGCGTACCTTTTGGAACCACAGACTTCTCAGCTGCCGCCGTCCGACTGGCCGCGGGCGTACGGGATTCCCCTTAAACGGACCAAAACGATAACGTTGCCCACCCGCCGTGTCAAACGGACGCGGCGATATTATCGCCCCTACTCTCCGGCGCGCGTCACTGCGGCGGCGTTGTCCGTCTGTATGCACACAACGACTATTATTATTATTATTATTATTATTATTATTATTATTATTATTATTATTATTATCATTATTATTATTATTATTATTATTATTACTCACCGGGATAGTTTAGTTTTGAAACGCGTTAATTGTACGCGGTTATTTTACTTAGTGTAAGCGTACGGTAATATCGTATTCGACACAATTTTATACAAACGGTTACAATAATTTGCCTGCATATATCTACAACGTAAATAGCGAACGCTCGTGTATCGTATTGCATAATTATAATTTTGGATTAACCGTGCCGAATACATTGTAAATAATACGGTACGCGCGTTGTTTTTAATATCGCGCCGTTGTACGAACAAATAAAAATAATCGATTTTAGTGTTTTGAACGTAGGTATTAAATTATAATTTATGGCGCCCGTAATAATATTATAACGTTTTCGTTTCGCGCCATCTATATTAATCATGTTTAAATAACGCGTTCGGAAATTAACGGCGTTTTATACGTTTTTATTATTGTAATATTGTAATATATTACGGCGGAAATGTGAACACCGTGTAATATATAATGGTGTTAACGAAAAAAAAAAAAAAAAAAAAAAAAAATGTAGCTTTCCAAAACCGACGCCTTACCTTAACAAAAAGTTATTTACCAGAAAGAGGTACAAATATAAATAAATTATAATTACGTTTTCATATTATTTTATTTTGTCACGAAAAAAAATTTGGAATTTCATCAACGTCTACCACATTGCGCGAAACTAGGGAAAGTTTACGACGTCAATACATTACAATGGCATTATTTTTTTTTTTATTGACGCTGTCAAATTTTCATTCAAACCAGTCAATTCTGTAACTTTAGGTTAGGGTAGGTTCTCCGTGGATACAATTATTAGACCAACCTGAAATGCTAGAAATTTTAACAGAAGGTTCATTAAAAGTCGTACTTTGTGGTCAAAAAAATTATCACAAATGTTATTTTACTATATGACACAGGTATCATATTCTTGACGAAGCAACACTATTAATCAAACTCCGCTCAGAATCGTTTCTTGATAGTAATGACGAACGGATATACATAAAATTTCTCCTCTCTACCTTTCCAACTTCTCACCTACAACAGTGGGCGCCACTCGTCGTGCAAAGTATATCCGTATTTTTGTAAATATTAAGTTTTTATTATTTTAACTTTTAATTTTTTTTTTTTAAACGATCATTGTCGCCGTGAAAATGCACATGGTTGACAAAGCATAATCACTCAAAGGTTGATTGCAAAGTTGCCCAAACGATTGGCCTCCTTTCCCTCCTCGTTCGACGCAGAACACTGTACAATGTTTACCATAAATGCCATCGGCCTAAACTGCTGTAAGCAATCCAGCTCCATCTATTAAACCACGAGACTTGACATTTTAAATGTTTACGACCATGCGTAGGAAAATCATAATTCTTACCCGGAATCCAAATTGTACTATTAACGCTTGAATAGTTTTTTCGGTGATCGTTAAATGTTTATTAATATAACATAGTTTTATATCAAATATACAATTATAATTAGGCACTGCAGGAGTACATACTCCTATTCAAAATAGCATTTTGCTTATCTCGATTTGGAATTTGTTTGAATTTATAACGGATAAATATCACTGGCATTCGTTTCATTAAAATTAGCTATGCCGTTCATTTAATAATACTATTTACGTTTGCGCAGATACAATCACAACTATAATAACAAAATGGGGTACTACGAACTTAATCGTCAACACACAGTTTATTGAACTAATTGACGATTATTTATTTGTAATTTTTATCATAGCCGAGTAATATATGCGGAAAAATAAGAAAAACCATAGACAAATATTGTTCTATAGTTTGTATTGTAATATGTTTAGACGATTTCTAACTGTACTACCGAACGTTCATTTTCTTGCTTCAAACGAATAAAAAATTATTTCAGATCTGCTATGAGTGCTGAAAAATCCAATAGTTTGACAACATTGAATAGGTGTCGAAGCGCGGGTTCGCCTTCCACATTAAATTGTGATTATTAAATTGGTGCATTGAAGAAAAATGTAGAAAAACAATTATAAATAATTTATTTTTTAAATCGCAAGAGTAGATATTTTGATACCATTTAATATTCATTAATAGTGTAACTTTTTTTTTTTTTTATTAAAGACAGTGCACCAAGTTGTGTGTTAATAATTTTATGTAGGATAGGGGTGGAAAAAGCGGCGAATTGGAAAGTGCACGTAGACGGAGAAAACCTAAATACGCCACTGTTTGTACGTGTTATAATATAATACTCAACGTAAACCGAAAAACATAGAGAACATCGAAAATAATAACGCAGCCCTGCAAATTACCGTGAACAATAATATACTATACAACGGTATAATGATGTTTATAAACACAATGTTATTACGTGAGGGTCGTCCCACTAGGGCTTTGATCGCGCTTCCGGTGTAAAATAAAATGCAATTACATTTCCATGATATAACGGGTTCGCGTGTAGGTAATACCCGGGAAGTGTGTTGTTGATTTCTGTTCAAAGAAAACGGAACGGCAGAAAAAACAAATTTCATTGTAAGTACTAGGTATACAAATACATTAAAAAAAAAAAAAAAAAAAAAATCGAATTCCCAATACTAATCGATTTTCCCCGCTATTAAGACAGAATACAGAGTTAATTAGTTAGCCGTAGTAAATATTATTATCATATTATTATGTTTTTTAAACAACAAAATGGCGGAATATGGTTCGATCACTATAGTCAGTGGAGTATGGAAGCGGGGGAGGGGGGGAGAGAATAATGTTTCAATTTCCTGCGCGCTATCAGTAAAATCTCAAGGGACACCTTCCGTCGAGTATTTGTTTGAGAAGAAATCGCTTCGCATTTTTCTATTACCATAACAGAATTGATTTCATAGCATCACCGAAAACATGAACATAACAATGCAATATTACGTAAACCCAAAAAAAAAGAAATCAATTTGTTACCGGGGACGGTAATAGGGTATATGTTATATTATTTTATATAAAATATAATAGAGTCTGCGGTATAGAGCGGTGTTCCCAGTGATTTTAATCCAGGAATTTCTTAAAAATCTCATCCCACCCCCTCTCAACAATTAAAAAAAAAAGTTGCTCAACTCTCTTTTGTTATTATCAAAAGAGTAATATGATTTAAGTCAGTGGCGCCGACCTTAAATCGATTTGACGGGAGGGGAAATCAGCGTGTGTACTCACCATCCACGGAAGATCCAAGGGAGGAGAGGGGAGAGAACAAATGCTCCCTCTGTTCTTCAAAAACGTTTAAAATCCGTGACTGATTCGTGTTTTAAACGAAATTACTAATTGCAATATAAAAAATAATTTGTATCACTATAAATTGATATATGTATTTTGTATGCAAACAATACATACGTACTTTAAAAATAGCTTTATCACAGTACCTAAATGTATTTAATTGTTTGTATGTCAATCAACAAGATTAAAATCAAATGTTTATCATAAACGTATGCCCTGTGAATTTTAATAGTCTCCCCTTCGTTATGACCGACCGACTATTACCCACCGAAAAAAAGGGAGGGGGCGACTGCTCCAATTGGGTGTTAGGTTTGGCGTCACTGATTCAAGAATATATTTAAAATTTAAACTTGGTATTCAATATAGTTAACATTATAACAATATCATTATGAGGTACTAAAAAAACTCTTAGTTTAATGTAAATATCCGATTTTCTATTCTTCATCAAGTCATCAATCCTTGGGGAAATTGTTTAAAACGCAAAAAGAATCTCGTTTTACACATTCAATCGATTTTTTTGTTTACTTTTAATTTGTAAAAGTGAAGAAAAGTCTGATTCACAACGATTCCTGGATACTGATGGAATTAATGTACGGAGAGCTTTTTCTGTTACTTTTGGATAAGAGGTGGTTATCAAAGGTCAAAATTTCGTGAAATATTTTTCATTAAATAAATCCCCTGCTCTTGAATCGGCCTTAAGCCGCACAAATTTATCCTGAAATTTATCTGGAACTTTTTTAGCTGGCAATCTAAACGGGTTTCGTACTAAGTTCAACTATAATTTCCATTGAAATTGATTTTATCATCACTATCATCACTATGTTATCCTCCTAAATTACAAATATAAGGAGAAGACGCAAATATTAGTTATGGCGAACGATTATTGCATCCTGATTTAAAGATCTACACATTACTAAATAATACTGACCATAGGACCGTGTCCCGTCAAAAATTAGTGGTAGGAGATAGTGTGACCCTGGGTGGTTGACGAATGGTCAAAGGCGTAATAATGTATGACAAACATTGTACAATAGGTATATTCAGTATTGTTCAGATTACAGTAAAATGATTGAAGTGTCTAATAAAATTGCGGCTTCAAAAAAAAAAAAAAAATTTAAGGACAGGTTTTGCCTTTTCTTAGGTATAGCAACACAATCACAAAGTATGAGACACTATCGGGAGAGTATTCCGAACAAATCGTGACGAACATTTTCACTGGTGTCATCAGAAACGCGGTACTAATTATCTAAAAAAACATTGCAGCCGTCTCTTCTCTACCCCACCACTCATAACCGATACTTGAAAAACTGGCGAATCAAGGATATTTTTAACGTTAGCCGTAACGTATATACGTACAGTATGAACTGCATTCGTGAAAAACGGCGCAGGTTAAGCCGTATAAATTTTTAGGAGACCCAAAAAAAAAAAAACAAAAATCTAATGATTTCCTACAGACATTCGTACGGACCGCAAACGCACAAGGTGTGTGTGTACAGAAGAGATACATAGACGAACTCCAGTATCGGTCCGCGTCGTGAAACGCGTGTTGATGATGGGAAATTCGACGAAATGTGACTCGTCGTCGGCCTTTTGGACGAACGTCGGGTAACCGCGGTACTCAGAGCTCAACGTATCGCAGTGACATTGGCCCCGCGCCGAAGAACCGCCTGTATGCGCAGTTGTTCGACGGCGGGCGCGCGTGTTGTTCTACATAAATATCGGGAACGTTTAAACCGTTTGTTCAGAAGTCGCGGCGCGTAAGCGTTTCGGGCGGCGCAACACCGAGACGTCCGCTTGTAAACGCGCGCGTCGTTTATGGTTTTGTTCGAGTGCGCGCCGCAACACAGCGACCGCGATGCCCGCCGTCTCGCGCCTTCCGCGCCGCGATAATTACCGTCGGCTATTCGATCGTTATAAACGGACGCGTTTTGCACAAAGTCCGCGCCGCGAGCTCCGGCGTATTGTTCGCGAGACCCGCGACAACACAATAATAATAATAGTAATAATAATAATAATACAAATAACAGTCGCAACGCGGCGGCTCCCGGGTCGGGGACGACGGTGGCGGCGCGGTTTCGTTCGGCGGGTCGCGGCGGTCCCGCGATCCGGGAGCCGCCGCGCCGCCGTTCCCCGGGGGATTGATCCGATTTCGACGTGGTACCGCGGGCGGACGATGATTCGACGCGGACGAACGGTTTCGAACATTTGTCTGAACATTTAACCGCGCGCGGAATGCGGTGATTCTTTCTAAACCCCCGCCCCATCCCACCCCATCCCACCACGGTCCCTGCGTTTTTGCCGAAAACCGACGACGGTTCGTCGTACGCTACACGACGGCTTGCCCGGCGTACGCCGGGCAG